AAAAGCCTTCAAATCTCGGGAGAGGCAGTGGATTCTGGCACGACCTAAACCCAGCTCTGCCTCTGATTAGCTCTGTGGTTCTGGCCACACTACCCAGCCTCTCTGAGCTTCAGCTTTCTGCAGAATGCCTCATCATCAGGTCTAAGATTCACATTATAACATCTCTGAAATTAGGATGCAATTTGCAATCAATGACAATAAAGTTGATGGGTTTTTTTCCCCCCCTTAATGTTACATAAAGTAACAATGAGTCTTACAACCTAAATGTCTTAGATTTGATGAAATACAGCATTTCCCTTTGGTTTTAGGATCAACAATCACATAAGCAAAGCACAGGACCTGCACAAAGTAGTTTCTAAAAAAGTTGCATTTTAATACTATTGCTTCAGGATATTAAAGAACAGTCTTAAAGTCTTTGTACCCTCAGACTCTGTATGACTGTCATTACGGGCCTTAGGAGGGGGCCTTGCAAGACATGTTGGGGAAAGTGTTCTGACTTTGTAGGAAGGACTGAAATACAGACTAGAAGATGGTGGGGGGTAGGGGGTGTTAGAAAACAGAGCAAGATTAGCAGGAGGAAAAATTAAAGGTGAAGAAATAATCGGTCATCTCACTGGAACTTTACAATGACAGCTGAAATGTGAGAGATGCTGGTTCCCAGCCTGGGAAAAACAAATGAGCTCAAATGAAGTGATCAACTTCAAGAGTGACTCAGCAAGGAGCAAAGAACATCCAGAATAAATCATCCTTAGCCTCAGAGAATGGGAGGCTAAACTCTCCCAGACCTGCAAGAGCTGAGAAGCCATGAACTTTCATTATTGTAAAGTTGGAAGTTGAAAATAGAAAACTTTTCCTTTATTCTTTTTTTAATTGGATGACAGAGATCATTGTTCGGTGCAAAGCTCCCTATTAATTGTACAAGAAATGAAGGAACGCTGTTAGGTACATGGGAGTAGATCTGGAAAGAACATCTAAATTTACCTGTGGTTTGGAACCCAGCTCCTTCCCCCTCTTATACCCCACCCCCAGGGGATTTGTTCAGTTTGAATGGTATCAATTTTGTTAAAATTTTGTTAGTGTGTGAATATCTGGGTATTTGTACTTGAGTTTAATGTTTGAATGTTTAGTTTATTATTTGAAATGCTTTTTGTAAAAGGATTTTATTACTTAATGGAGTTGGGTAATATTTAAAGTAAAATCAGGGTTTCATCTCTATTGATCTCGAGAAATTCTGCAGGATGTCAAATGTTTATGGTTTTGTAGGTCCCAATTATAACAATCAGGAAAAGACATTAAAACACTAAGATAAATACGCTTACAAAGAAATTTGTGTAAGTAGTGATTCAGGACATTTATTATTTTAGGGGAAGTGAATTATCAATAAATCACTTTCGGGGTAGAATTGTCAAACGTTATGTTAGCTTTATGGCTGAATAGAGCAAATATGAAAATGCTGTTTTGTTTACAACTCAGCATACAATTGTGCAATCGTGCCCAATTCAGCTCAATGAAAGTATAAAGTTGTATAAAAGATTCATATTCAGAAAATACAGATAATACAAAAATGCAGAACTGAGTTTTTAATCATAAGATAGCTTGGCAAGTAGCAACGTGCTTATAAATAGTTTCTATGATGCAATTTGTCCTTTAATCAAGATAACTTTTCTTTAGAGATAATTTTTGTTAAAACAGTCAGTGAAGGAATTTCCATTTGAAATGGTGAGGTAGGAATTGGGCTTTAACGTAATTTTAATGTAATTAAATTAAATGTTTTAACGTACTTTAAATTAAAAACATTCCATAGTGTTAGGGTTACTTTGCCTGGTGATTTTAATAGGGGCATGCGATGGTTACTGGCGAACTTGATGGGATTTTATGTTTTTAGCAGTATCTCATCTACCTATAATCTTGCCTGTGCTTTGAGGTGCTTTGTGGTGTAGTGAATGTAAAAGAGGCCTGGGCCACCGAACAGCTGGGATCAATGTAGAGCTACAAAGCGACTACAGACACTTTCAATGAAGATGTTACACTGTTGACACTTGATACATTTTGAAAGTAATTTTTATCTCTTTTCATTTGAAACTTGTTTACTGCATAGACAATCCCCATCTTTCAGCTGGTTCCAGAAATGACTGGAAATGTATTTGCATGATCCTGGGGGTGGCTAGTAGAGTGTGCTGTGAACATGAAATTGGTATGGCTGGATGCACTGGGGTTGCAGAAGCTGCACTGAAACTATACACATAGATCTTCAGCCTGGAAGAAATCAACTTTCAGATTGATGAATTTGATCTGGGTCCTCTCCAGTACACTTTATGTACCTTCTGTACTGTTCCTCAGACACTGTGGCAATAAAAGTAACATCTTCTGCATCGATCCTGAGATAGCTAGAGATAGTTCAGCTTCTTCTTGGGGGCCCTGCTGGCAAGTGGAGGCCAGGTGCCACGTCCATCAGCTGTATTGTAGTTGCGCCAATGTGGGCATGTGTCATGGCGTGCTGTCACTCAGACCATGCCTGGGCTGGAGTCTTCTTCACCATTCTAGGCCTGAACAATCCTTTCTGGAAGCAGTGGGACTAAGCCACAGTAGCTGACAGCTTCCCTGGCTCTCTTCCACTGTAGCAGAATCTTGGGGAGGCTGGATTCCAGCCGAGGTTGCTGTTTGAGTGATGGCTTGGTACTTCTATTCCATTCCCTGGAAGGGTCTGACCCCTGGACCCTTCTTCTTCCAGGAGGTAAGCCAGTGCTCGCTCTGGCAGAGGTCATTCGTTGCCCTGTAATGGGAGGTCAGGTATGCCTTTATTGCAGCTTGTCTTACCTGGCAAACTCAACTCATTTTCTTCTTCTTCTCCTTTTTTTTCTGGTAGGGAGTGAACTGGGTGGAAGACATCAGGTTAATAGAATTCTGTATCTTCTTGTCTTCTTGGCCAGCCCAGCATGCACCGCCTGGGGTGGATCGGTGGGCTTCCTATGTAAGTGTTATAGGCCACCTCCAGCTGTACCTCCCTCACATGTGTACACATCCATGTTCACTCCCACATACACTCATTCACCTGTATGCCCCACCCACCCACGCATGCACATGCATGCGCGTGCGCACACACACGCACACCCCCCCAGCCAAATGGACAAACCAGCCAAGGCAACCATGGCACATCCCTCAACTTAATAGATGCTCTTTTCCAGCTCTCGCCTCTCAGCCCCCAAGAATGATATTATTCACCAGGAATCAAGACCCAACTCTCTGCCCTAAACCTAGCACGGGAAGGATCTGGCTACCTCTCATAGGTACTTTTGTCAGGACAAATTACAGGGGGCCATAGAGTCCACCACTCTGGTCCACACATATATGGACAGATAGCACAAATAAGTCCCTGTACTGGAGTGTCCTACTGCCACCAAGGGCAAACCCACAAGCTCCTCATCTACTATCTGTAACCCGTGTGGGAAGCCCCACTGCTCCCGGCCCCACCCAACTGGAAACCATTGGTCACAAACTCACTTGGATACTTGGACATGGAGCCTCATCCACTTCCTGGAACCAGCACTCTCCTAGCTAGGTGTTCTCCAACCAGAAGCATAGTTATGGGATATATTCATCTTTTGAAGCTCAGGTCTTCCATCCAGGACAATCGAGAAGAAACTTACTATGGAGAGTTAGCAAATCCTTGACCATATCCAGTAAGGACTGACGTCTTTTTAAAGAAGAAGATGAAAAAAAAAAAAACTTGGGAATTCCAGCTAAAATAGGATGGCCCAGAACCAGGGCTGGGGCCACCAAGACAGAAGATGTCAGCCTGGAAGGGAAACTAGGATGTAACTAGGCTGCATATTCATACAGATCTCATATAAGTACTTTTAGCTAACAAACCCCTGCCTCTACTTTTTCTCGCCAGGGCCTAGACCCTATATGGCAGCCCTACTTAGGGCAGTCAAATTAAGAGACTCACTTCCAATCATTTTCAATTCATGAAGTCAATTTGGAGGAGCCAGTCCATTCATAAAGCTGGAAATTCTGAGGACAAATAGTTTAGAGGTGTGCCTGTGGGCCAAAGGAGAAGGCCTCTGGACATGTTTGGACCAGTCCAGGTATTTGGTGAAACTATGAGGCCTGAGCCGCTCCAGGTGGATTCTGAAGACTCACAGGTGTGGTCCTCCAAGGCCTCCTGATCAGGGAGGAAGCTCTGACCCCTTGTTATTTCCTGCACCCTACCTTTACGACATGGGTGGGCCAGGGTCTCCTCCCCCCAATATGAGGTTGACTTGACCACATTTCTGCAGTCAAGCATCAAATGCATACAACACCACCAGGAAGAATCATTCTCTGGTTACTGTAGGTACGCAAAAACTCACTTTTCCAGTATGAACTTGTTGCTTATCTATTTTATATATATTAGTATCTGCAAATCTCAAACTCCCAATTTATCCCTTCCCACCCCCTTCCCCGACTAGAAAAAAGAAAAAGAAAAAAAACTTCCCTTTTCCATTACCATCTTGTCTATGGACCTCTTCAAAAGAAAAGATATATTCTTTGGACCCCAAAGGGAGCAAAAGCTCCCCCCAAAATCATGTACCTACTCTCTTCTGCCTTCATCCAAGCCTATCCCACCTCAGCCCACCCATGTGCACCTGGCTTGGAAGCCTCCCAACCACATACATGAGGCCACCATGTTGCTAGAAAACTTGGACTCTTGTGCCTGTTTTTCAAAGAATCTAGTTCTGTGAGAAGCCAACTCCCAGGACACAAATAACATTAAAAGAGGCTTCAAGGCTTGGAGAGGGAAGCTCAACAGAAACTGACATCAGTGGGCCTCAAAGGCTAACCACAGCAGCTTGAAACAGCTCTAAGAGCCAGGAAAACTCAGCCCTGGACTTAGCGCGGGCACTTGACTTTCAACGATTGGAGTTTTCAAACAGTTAGCCAAGGCAATCACGCTGCCAAACTCTTGTCATATGAGCCCAAGGAACAGGAACCAGGAGAAGCCACTCTGACTCAAGGAGGATCCTCCATTCTAAACAAATTGTAGCTCAGCCCTCTCAGAACCAGCAGCATGACGGGACACTGGCAACAGGCCAGCATTGCAGTCGGCAGCCCCTGGTCAGGGACCTGCACCATCTGTAGGGACTCCCGGAGTGCAGAGGACAGGGGAGGCTTGCTTCCTCGTGACCCCTCATGCAAGTTCCTTGGGGAAGAGCCAGAACACAAGCATATACTGCTGCCAGGATGTCAACTCAGAACCATCCAAATGTCAGGCCTTCTGGTAGAACATGCTCAAGTCAAGGCAAGTCCCAAGAAGACCCTACAGGCTCCGTTATCCATCTCTGATGCCAGAGGCCTGTGAAAAACTGGGCTCTGTGACGGTTTTGGCCTCTTGAACTGCAGGCGTTATGCATCGTGTCCCCAAGGTAACGCACACGATCTCCTGGACCACAGCCCTACATCCAGCCATTATAGCCCCATTGGTCAATGTTGCATTCTAACCCAGTGACTATGTAGTGGCCTCAGTTTGCAACCCAATTCTGGAAGCACAGGTCAAAGCCTGAAGCGTGCCATTATTCTCTCTTTCTCTCCTGTTTTTGCTAAAATAATAAGTGAGCCAGACCCCAGAGAAGTCCTGCCATTGCGATACACAGGGATGACTTTCAGCCAGAATCCGTTCTGCTTAGTCTGTGCTTAGGCAGTTCTAGTTATTAAATAGTTTTAATGTGACCCCTGACTGCGTATCATACAGTCAGCCTGACCCAGTCCCTCACTCTGCCTCTAATGAGTCTTCTGGCTTTGTCAATTTTTTACGACCCAGAACACACTTTGCATAGTAAGTATCTCAAGCTTCATAAAATGTCTCCTCAGTCCCAGGCACTGGGCGGGGCCTGGGGACAATGCAGAGAACATCCAGAAGCTCTGGGGATCCTCAGGGGCTTCCCCCTGGCTATCATTGGCCCCTGGGACCTCGCCCCAGACATGCTTGCTTCACCAAGGAGAATCAGATATCTGATACACTAAAAATAATAATAATAATAATAAAAACCTACCATGCATATCTAGAGCCCTCAGGCTACAAGAGAGACAATTCCAGAATGGAGACAGCATCTAGGTTCCTCCCCTTCTCAGCAACGTGCCCTTGCTGAAGTTGGGAAGGCTTCTTTCTGATTCCTGTGAAGTAAAAGAGGTGGCGAATCCTGTCATGTGCTCCCAGCAAAGACCCCTACCAGGGCACATTCTACCCAGTGGAGCCTGCCCTGCCTGCCCCTGCTCCTCGCCAAGAAGAGGAATGAGACGGGGTCAGGGTTGGTTAAAGCCTGTACACCTTTTATTTTCTAGCCAGTCTTTTCCTCTGGAGTTTCCCTCTTTGGGGCTTCCCCTCTCCCCAGATTTTAGGACTGCCCTTGGCATTTCTGACTGGCCTTCGCATTGGTCACCGTGACAGCTCCCCAGGGAGACGCGCCTGCTCTGGTCCTACTCAGCCTCAGCCTGCGCTCTGCCCAGCACCCGTCCAGGCTGAGACTTCAGCTGCCTCTTTCCTTAAAAGGGTGTGTTTATCCCCAGCTCAGCTCAGAAGCATCTCAAACTGATTCCTTCCTGTCCCACTCAAGATAGGATGTGGGAGTTCCCTTCCATAACTCCACCACTACCTGAGGTATCCAGGGCCATGCTGTCCTTCTCTGCTCACTCATGTCTTGAGCAGTTGAAGGGGTGGTTGTCCACAGGGTGAAGTCACAGGAGAGCTGAACAGAGCCTCAGGGCATGGATGGTTGCCATTCCAGCTGGATAGTCAGGGGTGGTGTGCTGGCTGCCATCAAAGGGAGGTCCTCACTGGAGCTGTGACAGACACAATTCACTGATAATTAAGGAGATGATTTATTCAGTCTATTGCAATAAGGGGAACATCAATGAGGAACATCTCAAAGAAAAGGGAGGGGTCCTGGGGTGTTCTAGGGTAAACAAGGAAGTCATCTTGGAGTCTCATGGGAGTCAAGAAGGATGGAGATGAGACTTCCGTCGGAAACTCTGAGAGCAGCATGGTCCTTTGAGGTTAGCTGGTTTGTCATTTCCAAAGCACAAAATGGTGGGAGGATTTCTTAACCATCACTGCTGAAGTTGCACAGAGCTCAGATAAAGTTCAACACTGTCTGTCCCACCTTCTGTTCAAGATGAATATTACTTGTCACTGAACAACTCAGAGGCAAGAATAAACTTCCTGAGTGTCATGAAGCAGGGCCTAAGAAATAGTCTCTCTGAAATTCTTGCTGGTGTTTTTCCTTAAAACCTGGTGGCCCATCTGTTGAGAGGTAGGACCAAAGGTCAGTTGTCTTATGGTCCTCGAGATCAGATATCTTAAAAGAAGGATGCCTGAAATAGAGAAATAATACTGTAAAAGTTGTATTAAAGAGACATAAATTGAACCTTGAGAATTAAGCAGTCCAGGGAATTCCAGAGGTTAGCAGAAGAAAATCTCATAGCACTACTCCTTGAGTTTCTTGAAGCTAAGATGGTCACACTCTTGATGATGTTGTATAGAGTCTTGGCTACCTCTCATTCAAGGCCATGTGTGACCCAAACATTTGGTTGGACTTCCTCAGTGGCCCAGCAGTGGCTTGTCTGAGGAGAATTCTAGCTTGTGCATGGTCTGCTGTGGAGCTCAGACCTTCAGGGTTGATGCCAAGTCACTGGGCTTCAACTCAGAGAGCTCCTTCAGATTCTGGGGGGATGGGCCAGCTGCAAGGCAATCTGGAGTACCGATAGGGATCCAAGTAGCCAGTTTGTAGTTCTTGGTGACTCTGAGTCAGGCAAGAGGAAGAAAAGTTTGAAAAGTTAGTTTGAAGGATTGTAATCAGATATGGAAGAAAATGGAAAGAACTGAAAAGGATTGACAAAGGATTGACAATTTGGGAAAGGCAGCAGGATCCAGTCTAGTTTAAATGTAGGTACCCAAGCTGGTTTTTTCCATGAGGGGCAGGGGAAAGAGATAAATGAAATCTCATCAGACAAGACCGAGTTTGCACAATCATCGGCTACCTGCAGTATACAAAAAGGAGCAAGAAAACTCAAAAGCAATGAGAGTTTGACTCAGAGTGAGAGTCTGATAACCTGGAAGGGTATGTTATATATTGAAACACAAACTTTCTCATTTTATTTACCTCTCTTTTGAGAAAAATAATCTCAAACATTTTTCTTGATTACAAAATAAGGCTGGTCTCATCCATTTGCCCTATTTACGAAAGTGTAGCAAGAATAGTGACTTTCCATATAGGCCTTCTTAAGTTTGTTTGCCGAAAGCTTTAGTAAATTATCTCAGATTGGACGGTTGAAAGCCTCTTGAGGTTAGGAAACCAAGCCAAGAACTCGCCATCAAATTCACCTGCAGTACTTACAAATTTGAACAAATTCCTCTTTTCTTGAGGATGCCCAAATATCCTAAAGTTCACGGGCTTGCCAGGAAGTGATCTTCCTTATTCACTTGTAAGGCTGGGAATTCTATGAATTGTACCAGGCCTGTTTTCCTAAGAAGGCTTTGTAGCCACAGCCTGCATAAAGTCAATCTCAGTTCCTTCAAAGTGTCAGGTCACATCTGATTAAAGAAGCATCATTCTCAAGTATGATAGTCCAGGCAAAGCCTTGGGTTAATAAACAATGTTTCCAATTACATCCTGTTAACAAGAAAGACAGATTCTTAATGAACCTATGCAAATAGTTATATTGCCATGAAGTTAATAATACTCATAAGAGTTTCTAAATTTTGGAGCCGTCAAGGAGGGAGACTAAGATATTCATATATGGTTTGTTTCTGGTTAGCAAAGCATAGTCTACCGAATTGTTAGCAGTTATAGATGTCTTTAGAGAAAAGAGAATGGGGTTCCTTATTTATCCAGAAAGCAGAACATTAAAATAACATCAGCAATATTCCATACAAAACCCACCATCATCCCTCATCCATTATTTCAGTCTTTGGTAACTAATTCTTGTTCCACTAGATTTTGGTTTAGTATTCCCAGGAACTCATCTAAATTTCAACTAGAATTCTAGACATTCTGAATCAGCCCACTGGAATGGTCTCATAGATATTTAAATAAGGCCATCAGAAGCCTGTACCCCAAAGTGCCTAGCCTCTTCCACAGGGCTTTGAGACAGCCTCTCTTTGTCAAAGACAAGCACCCTAATTGTCTATAGCTGATTACAAGTGCTTTCAGGGAAGCGTCAGAGAAAACCAAAAAGCTATCTGTAGATGACAAAATAAGATTGCTGTGGTTAACCTATTACTGATGATTTTCAAAAGTGAAAGGTCTGCTGGGAGTTCACAGCAAAAATAGTACAACTGACCAGGAAATCTGGTTGTTTCTATGGCATACAAACCAAAATAATAAAGTCAACCCAGAAAATGTTTTAGACAAAATCTCTGTTAGTGTAATGAATAACTCTATTTTCAA